AATTAATAACACCAGTAGTAAACAAAAACACTACTTTAAAACAACTCAGTGCAAATAGGCATGCTTGTTCATTTTCTTTCAACTCACAACAACAACTCAACTTCCAAACCAAAACACCAACACAAAGGAGTGTGAGTTTAGACAGCACCAGTTAGCTAATCACATAGAACTGTAATCTTTGACATTTGTTTACCAAGTGAACAGCTTTAACATTTAAGCAGCTGCAATTGTTTGTGCAAACACTGTGTATTTACAAGGTAAGAGCTTCAGGTCTCCAGATCTACTAGCTAACAAAAGACACATTACGCTTTCACCTGCTTCTCTGCTTCAACAGCAACAATGTTCCTCTTACGTCAGAGGCACAGCTACAGCAAGTGTAGAGCTAAGCAGCCTCACCAGCGTAACCAGTGTTGCTCTTTTAGCTTTGAATGTTTTAACTTAAATGCATTAACAACTTGTGTAATAATTCTAACAAAAGGTTTCTACTTTTATCTGTTTGTAACCCTGGGCTAAACAACATCCATAAACAACATGTATCCATTCAGTATCAATCCAACCAACAAACCTGCATTAACCCAACCATCCATAAAGCCAGCAACCATCCCGCCAACATGCATCAACCCAAAACTCCAACCAGACAGCATGCATCACAGTAAGACTAGGTGGACTGCTGTGGATTCAGTTGGATCTTACTCTGCACAGCTGCAGAACACTGTTGATATAGCTCTCGTCCTTTTCCACTTTATTCCTGAAAAGGCTTGTTTGTTTCTTGTCAGCAGAGTCGATGTCCTTGGGCCACCCCCCCTCCACGTGGTTTACTCCACAGCTTCTTGTCTCATGAAGTTCTGTGTTCACCTGAAAACAACAAGTAGCACCTGAGATTCACACAGACAGGCAATTCACGCAGTGTACTGTTACTCAGGAGGTAGAGCAGGTCACTAATCAGAAGGTTGGTGGTTCAGTCCTTGGCTGCATCCCTTGGGCAAGATACTGAACCCTGAATTGCGTTCTGATGCATTCATCAGAGTGTGATAAAAAGCACAGAAAAGTTGCTTTTATGAATGGGTGAATGAGGCATGTTCTGTATATAAGAACCAGTCTCTTTACTATGTATGTAATTTCAACCCTTTTGGCAATCCAGTTCAAGCTGTGTAGTTGATCAGTTACTGCAGGAGCGTCACACTCAGTTATGTCCTCAGTTAGAAGCATGGACTGCTTCTAACTTGATTTCTCCTAGCCCAATACTAATAAGATAATAACATATACTGTATTGATCCCCGAGGGAAAATCCCTCTCTGCATTTAACCCATTCACTCAGAGAAGGAGTGGGAAGCCACTGGGCACCCAAAGAGCAGTGCGTAGAGACAGCACCTTGCTCAGGGGTACCTCGGGGAGCCGTTCAGTGGATTCGAACCCCCAACATTCCAATCATAGGGCCACCACTCTACCTACTGAGCTATCCCTACCCATAACGCTAGAGTATTCACATTTCTCTGTGTAAAGGCGGCTGATCTGACAGTGTCCACAACTCATAAATAATTTCTAAAACTCATCAATAGCCTGAGATGTCTTCAGAAAAATAAAACATCTCCATTTCTACAAACTACAAAGAAACGCTGCAGTAAAAATTAGAGAAAACCATCAGCATGGCTCCTCAGGCTCACAGTCTATGATGGGGCAGGCAATTAATTCTCCCAAGGGCCCACATAAGAAACTGGGACTGGGAAGTTCTGGCAGATCACGGTCACATATTCTAGTCTTGTATCTCTATTCAAACTAGAGCTGGGAGATATAAGATTTTTCCATATCACGATATGTTTTTTTCATTTCAGGCGATAACGATATATATCACGATATAAGCCAAATAACTATATTTGTAAGATTTAAATGTGCCGTTGCTCACAAGTAAAATGTGAAATAATCAGCAGCTTGTTTTGATTTAAATATTTAACAGGGTAGATGTACTTAAGGAACATGAGACTTTTTCAGATAAATAAAGGCAAATAT